AAAGCCCCGGTAAAGACCTGCTGTTGCTATAATAGTAAGCTACAATCTGGCCATCTAGTTTTGTTCTAGGAAGCAAGGGGTGAAAGGAGGGAGGGGAAGGGGTGATAACGAATGGGCTACTGTGTAAGACAAGGAAAATAGGAAAATAGATTTTAATTTTTAAAAGGCGGAGAGTCAGAAGGGAAATCGGACAGAGAGAGAAAGGCGGGGGTAGGGGTTGGGATGGGGAAACAGGAAGAGAGATTCAGGTGGGAGGGTTACACAGACAAACAACACGTAAAGCAACAGGACACATATTACGGTCACGTCCGTGGGTTACCTAAGTATTTGTGGGTCGTCGATGAGACATTTTTAGGCCAACAGTCATTCAGAAATAACAAACCGCAACGCAAAAACACTGACGGTCCGTTATCAGTCCTATCCGGGCCTTAGTCCACGGTGATATGACATCACAACTGTTACGGCTCAGATAAAGTCATCGAAAAGTCCGGCTTAACACAAGACACCCACGCAACGGAGATCGTAGTACCGGCGGCGTCGATGTGGAAGAACTCAGAGAACAACCACAAAATCCTACATGTACCTACTATATATACACACATTTCACAATACTCACCCAGCCCATCCCTCCTCCCGATGCTTCATGTACCCCCCCCCCCAAAAAAAAAAAAAAGAAGAAGAAACCCACCCGCCCAAAGCAGAAGACTCAGGTACAAACGTAACCGTCTTTTTTGTGTGTTTGTTTTGCCTTCGTAGAATGTTTGGAATGCAACTCCGCTCATCCCAGTATAAGCTGACAACAGCGGCACCAACTACTGCATTGGTGCAAGGGGAGGAGGGGGAGTGACGGCGGAGGCAACTGCACAGCGCATCTTCCGAGTACCGACACCGACATAGACAATACCACACTCACTGACACGGTGGCTGAGCACTGAGCACAGGTTTCAGGAGCCAAGAGGGGAGTAGCCTGTGGCATGTCACCACGCCTATCCTAACACCCTAGCGACTCGTCACAATTACCTTGATGGACAGGCTCCCCCCCCCCCCTCCCCAATCTTTTTCATTACTTTTTTTCGATGACTTGCTCTTCGGCGTGTGTAGAGAGTCGTGGCGCACTTATTATGGCACGGGTTCAATTCGTTAACAGTTCGATATGTATTTTGTTTGTGTATATATGAGAGTGTGTGTGTGTGTGTGTGTGAGTTTTTGTATGTGCGCGTGTGTGAGTATAAGTGTGCATGTGTGAGTATGTGAGTGCATGTGTATATGAATGTGTATATGCGCGCATGTGTTTGCGAGTGTGTGTGTGTGTGTGT